GATGCGTCCGGAGGGGGAAACGTAGGACCGAATGCATGGGGCGATAGTGAGCGGAGAGGAGGAGAGGAGGGAAGACCAAGGGCCGGAATGCCACTCACAGGTGGGAACAGATGCTGCGAAGTGGCGGCGGCTGCTGTTGCTGCTACTCATGCTGCTCCAGCTGCTGCTTTTGCTCCTGTCGCTCCTGCTCCGTGCGCTCAAGCCGTAGAAGAGCCTGGTGACACGAGTCGTAGCGGTGGGGAGGCAGAGGGAACGCCGCAGGAGTAGTGCCTCCAACTCCAGTCTCCTCAGAACTAGCACCTCCAGTGCCAACACATCCTGCTCCAGCACCCCCAGAACCACGACCTCCTAGGCTAGCACCTCCAGATCCAGCACTTTCTGTACTAGTAACTCCATTGCCAGCACCTCCAACTCTTACACCCCCCTGAACTAGAACCTCCAATGCCAGCACCTCCAGCTCCAGCACCCCCAGAACGATCACCCCCAGAACGAGCACCTTCAGTGCCAGCACCTCCAGCTCCAACACCCCCTGAGTCCGCTGCAACATGTCGCGGTAGTGCCAAAGGCTGCTGAGGTGACTGTGAGGAGGACTGTGGGGAGGGAGACGACACCTTACGTGCCACCGAGGAGAGAGGGGTAGCGTGAGACACACCTGACACGGCAGGACTAGGGGGGGGCGGGGGTACCGGAGGAGCGGGAGCAGGAGGAGGCGTGGGGGCGAGGAAGAGGGGAGGGGGAGGAACCAGGAGACCTCGACAAGGGTAGCGAGCTTAGTAGGACACAGACTCGTCAAACCGAACGTCACGGGAGTCGAGGAACCGATGGAGGGGCGGGTGGTAAAACACAAGGTCAGGAGTGGCCACTGGGAAACTAAGGAAGACATTGGGAATGGCGCGAGCCGAGAGCTTATCCGCTGAGGTGTCACGGAAAAGCGCAAGGCAACCTCAGACACGAAACTCCGACGCAACACCAGGGGACCCAGTCCAAAGACTGGTCGGTGAAGCCTCTGGCCGTGAGACACGAGGCCAGAGGTTCAGCTGGTGGGCGGCGTAGCGAACCGCGAAGGGCCACAGAAAATGGGGCGCAGGGGCCTGAATCATGGAGGTGCACGCTATCTCCATGACCAAGCCTATGTGGCGCTCATCAACCCCATTCTGCTGTGGAGACTCCGGAAGCGTCCATGAATGGGTGATTCTCTACTCGCTACAGAATCCGGCAAGCACGCCGGAGCGAAACTCACCCCCACGGTGGAAGAGGAGACAAAGGACATGATTACCACGAGTGGCCTCAGTGGCCAGTAGCCACCTGCATAGCGTAGAAGTCACGTCGGACTTCTTCGCTAGAGGAAACACTGTGGCGTACCTGGAGTAGTTATCAACGACCACCAGAAAAAGTCGCTCCCTCTTGGGCCCAAGCCGAGGGGCTGGGCCCCAGACTTCCAAGTGGAGAGTCTGGAAGGGTGCAGTGGCCGAACGAAGGGAGGAGGAGTGAGGAGTGGCGCGCGGCCGATCCTCGACGCAAGGAGTGCACGACATCGCATGCAAAGGAGGGAGCAACGCAAAGACGCGCGAGAGACATGAGACAAGACGCTGGCTAGCCATGCTGTCTAGTGAACGTGGCAAGAAGTGCCTCGGTGGAAGCGACCATACAGATCGCAGTCCTCCCGTGCCCGAGAAAGGTGACTGTGATCCCACAATTATGAAGGTATCCAACGCCCACCAAGTTCCAAGTGAACGAGGGGATGTGGAGACCAGTGAGGACACCAGAGTGGACAGCCGAGCACGGGAGGGTGGTAGAGCTGTGTGCAACCAGAGCAACAAGAACCGGAGCAAGAAGTGGTAAGAGAGTCATGTGGTCACGGATGAAGCACTGCGATGCGCGAGAGTCCAACGTGAACGACAAGGTCGTGTGAGCTGTAGATGTTCCTGGGTTGGTAGCTATACAAGCACCTAGAATGTAAGCACAAGCACCTAGACTGGAAACACAAGCACCTACACCAGCAACAGGCAAAGATCCTAGTCTAGGAACACGTGAGCAAACAGTTCCATCAGCACTATAGTTAATATCAGCATACGTGGCATACTGATGAGCCTCGTCCATAGTCAAATCAAACACAGGAACCCTATGAGAAAGCAGCTGCGCCCAGCGCGTCGTGCGCTCCTGAATGCCGTAGAAACAGCGCGCGACAGAGTATTTGGGGCAACCGCAGAAGGCTGGACTACCTGTCCTGAACAAGTAGTCGCAAGGGCCAACGACGCGGCCAGCGGGACGCGGTCCCCAGCTAGCGAGGCCGCTGCCGCGGCCAGCGCTCGCTGGACTACCGGGTTTTCATTGCTGCTGCAGGCCCCACTGCTACAGAGGAATCCACTGCTGGAACTGCTGCTGTACCTGCTGTTGCGGCTGTCCCTCCTGCTGCGGCTGTCCCTGCTATGGCTGCTGCTGCTGCTGCTGCTGCTGCTGCTGCTGCTGGGACTGCTGCTGCTGCTGGTGCTCGGACTGCTGCTGGGCTCCCTCACCACACCAGGGCTAGTACTACCTCCAGAACCGCCGCCACCCCCTCCACTACCGCCAGTGCCACCTCCAGGGCCTCCTCCAACTCCTCCACCACCCCCACCTCCACCACCACCGCCACCACCCTTCCCCCCTCTCTGACCCCCTTTGCCTTGTTCAGTCTCCTCAGGTACAGATAACGCAGCAGTGGCAAGGGAAGCTGTGAAGGTGGGAAACTGGGGCCCAGCACACCCCTTAGAGATGGGGAACTACTCTGGCAGAGGCTACAGCAAGGAGGTAAAATTCAATCTTCGAGAGAGTGGTCTCAAGACGATCGATAGTAAGCTCACTGGGGTGCTTCTGAAGAAGCACGTCGCGTGAAGAGGAGAGGCGGTAAGGGAGGTGAGTGACTTACCAGTGAATGGTGAGCCACATGGGCGGGGGGGCAAGGAGAAGCTGAGCGTCGGTACAAGCAGCACGGTAGCGAGTGTTGAGAGAGCTCAGGTGAGTGACCAGGTCAGAGATAGTCTCAAACGACCCAAGGTCGGGAAACACAAACGGCATACGGAGATGGCTGAGAGAGGCAGAGGACTCGGTGGAATAACGAGAAACAATATCGTCATAGCACCCCTTCGCAGTCTCGACCTCGAAGAAGTGGACGGCCTCAGTTGGTGGGAGCAGATCCGTCAGTGTGAGAGCAGCCGCGGCGTCATGAGAGTCCCAGACGTCACGCGCCAAGAACAATGGGTAGTAGTCCGCCTGCGCTGCGAGAGTGGGAGCGTGCTCAGCAGGCATGAGGTCGGGGAACGGAGGGGCCTGGAGGGCGCCGGACACGTGGGCGTACAGGGTGGCACCGACCTTGCGCTGGCTCGTAAGGTGGCGCTGGGCTTGGCGGAGCCACGTGCTAAAGTCGATGGGACGACCCTCTGCGTCGAAGCGCAAAACGCGAGAAGATGCCATAGTAATTGATAGGGGCGACTAGAGCTAGGAATGGCTGGAGTGAGGAGCGAACGGAGCTAGGAAGCCAGTCTAAGAACGGCCAGAGCGAGGAGAAAATGGAGCTACTGGAGCCAGACTAGGAACGGTAGGCTAGGTAAGACGGGTTAGGAATGCCAGTAACGTCGGGGTACTAATCCTAATCTGCGCCAGTGGAAGCAACTCCAGCTGCCAGCCACCGCTAAAGATGCCTACGACAGTAGGCGTGTTGGAGACAACGGGCACGGCTGGTGGTTGCAAGGGCGGAGCGTAGGTAGGTAAGGCGCAGGTGCGTGCTGTCGCAGTGGCGGCGGTGTGCGCTGTGGCAGCTGGTAGGGTGCTTTGGGCGGCTACGGGCGGCTGTGGGCCCTTGTGGGCGGCTATGTGCGGATGTAGGCGGAAATGGGCAGAAGTAGGGGTGGTGGGCGGTTGAAAAGGGGCTGTGGGCGATTGGGAAGGGCTGTGGGCAGCTAGGAGTGGGCTGTGGGCGGCTAGGAGGGAATTGAGGGCGGCTATGGGCGGCAGTTGGCGGCCGTGGGTGGTTAGGAGCAGTTGCTGGCGGTTGGCAGCTATGTGTGCGCGATTGCATAAGGCGCGCTGTGTGTGGCTGGCGGGGGCTGTCGGTGGCAGTGCACTGCCGAGCGGCTGCAGTAGCGCATGCTGGCGCTGCTGTTTGCGCCATCAAAGGGGAGGGGTACAAGGAGAGTGTCGAGTGATTTCCTGTACCCCCTAGCATGCAACTCAATACAGGCTATACAATATACTATCATAACTTTGACATTATAGAACAACTTATAAAACGGATTGCTGACGTATTTACTAGATTAGAAGCGCACCCCCTAAAACAACGTGCTTTATTAGAAGCTCAGGTGCGCTTATATCCGGGGTAACACAGTACCGCCATGAAAACTAGAGATACGGTAAGTGTGAGCCCTTCATTGTGTTGAAGTGTTGTTCTGTAGGTTATGTGAGCTGCATGCAATGTTGCATTGACGAAGGACATGCTCCCGATTTGCACTCTTGTATCATTTAACATTGATTTTACTGCAAAACCACCACCCTTTTCTGTATATAGTTGACAGACTCTTATTAACAGTTTCGAAGTTACCTCGGGTCTGATATGCAGTGAACTACAGTATTTGGAAATCACTCTAGAATGACGATGGCACGCAAATAGACTTCACTCCTACAGTTCCAGAGCAAGACCTGCCATTCTAGTCATAAAACCGTGCGATTGCGGTTGAGGTAGTTCCACCATAGAAGCGGTAAGCACCTGAGCATGGCATTGATGGCTGCGCAGGCTTGACCCTACCCTTCTTGCATAACCCCATCGTGAACGACCAGTACTCTGCTTTGAGGCAAACCTGGGATAATAAAATGCATGGGAAAGAGAATCAGTAAGGGTGTCGGAGAAACCAAAGTAGACTCGCATGGAATGCACGATAGAAGCAAGGGCGATAAGGCGCCTACCTTTGCCCACCCATTCCATCCTCCCCCTATGCCAAGGCCGTCCCCCCAGCCCTAACAATCCTCACCTGCACACCAATGTTGCTGCCGACAGCAGAGGCAGAGGAAGGGATTGTGGCGGAGCAAGTGAGGCCAGGATTGTTGCGGTACAGCGCAGCCCATGCATCCCCAGTGACATCCTTTTGTGAAGTGCCAGTCCTTTGAAGCAGCCGCTCGCACGTGTCTTGAGTTGTGAGCGTGCCGTATCTGACACACGCGGGTACGGTGAAGGCGAAGGCAGCACTGCGCTCGAGGCAAACGGAGCGGCCCGCCTTGATGGGCTTGGAGCAGTCAAGGCCGGGGTTGAGCTCAGCGAGATATCCATTATCGAAGTTGAGTACTGTTCTGATGGATGCACAGGTGTCCCCCTGGATGGTTGGACAGAGGCAGGGAAAGTAACGCTTGGTGCTTGCGATTTGCTGAATTGACTGCGCAAGCTGGTTGAGTGCATGGTGTGGCATGGCCAGGTCTCACATTGAGGGAGTAGAAGAAGGCAGTGCAGGGTGTGGCGGGAGTACCATCCAGCTGAAGCACACTGTCCTTGGGCAATGGCTGGCTGCAATCAACGCCCTGCATTGGGAAACGATTGCATGAATTAGAGGATCGTACCACACTCCACACAGGCCTACACCCCAAAGTGGGTCCTGGAGTGTAAGGTTTTCACTCCTCAGTACCAAATACGCATTCGGGGATTCCTGTCAATGAAAGAAGGGTGAAAGGAGGTCTCATCGAAAAAGAAAAGACAGGTGTGATGGAAATGCGAACGGATGATACCTACCCCAAACAGAGCCGATGCAAATAGAAATTCACCGTCAGTGGAGTGAGAACTCAGGGATACAGTGAAGCACGATTTAGCGGATGAAGTGATGTGAAAACACTGTTGAACTGATATGGAAAGTGCAATCCAAAAGCTGAATGAAGTCTCGTAACTTCCACCACCTATTCACCCACTATATTTTGGCCAGTGAAGACAAGTAAGGAGAGGCCAATAAGCGGATGAACGTCCGAGCACCACCAGTTGTCTCCACTGACTGTCATTGTGGTGGCCGTGGTGTTAGCTGCAGGCAGCATGTGCAGTGAGACAGAGGCAAGGCAAGAGAGAGATCCGTTGAATATTTGAAGGAAGCGGAACAAGATTAGAGGAATGGAAGTTGCCACAAGCAAGCGGAGCTTACGAGGCAGATTCACTCACAAATAAGACCACTAGACATATTTAAATTCAAAGCACCTACTTGGATCGCAGGTGGGGAAACCATCAACTGTCGTGCTCAGGATGTGGTTGGGAGGGCAGATGCAGGAGTAGGCGCCCTTGCCATCGTTGATGCATGCTCCCACGTAGCAGGGGTTCTTGAAGTATGACCCACACACGTCCACTGCCACACGTGCACCAAGATGGAATGGAAGTGAGGGGGAATATCGGGAGAGAAGAAGGGGTATATGTGTTGGAGTAGGCTAGAGCTCGCTCTGGTCTTTATTTTGGTGTTCTTATATTATTCCTCCATGCTTAGAGAGCGTTACGCATTCAGGTTCATTTTAGGTTCATTTTGTAGCTTTTAGTACAAACCGAACACACCCTAGGTTCAATTAGGGTTTCCAACCATCTCTCTTTTGTACCTCGACATTTCTCTTCCTAGTTCAACTTTTCGACCCTACCTAACTCTCTCGCCATCCATGGCTCCTCTCATCTTAACATGGTATTCAGAGCGTAGTCCTAGGCGTTTCATATTCATCCGCATTTCTTAGATAATCTCCGGCCCTTAGGCCGTATTCCGCGCTACTTAGCTATACGATTTTTTTTTTTTTTCCCTTTCCTCTCGTTTCTTTCCCGTCACTCTTAGCATCCGCGCGGTTCTCTTCGTTATACTCGCTCGGGTGCCCTAATCTAGTCCGAAGCGCGCCTCCCTACCGTTCAGATCATCCGTCCGCACCTTCCCTCTTCATCACGCTTCCTCCTCCTCACGTTTCGGACGGTAGCACGGCGATTTCCGCCTGTAGCGCGCTCAGCCGTCCCCTCCCCCCTCCCTGTCTCGTCGCGCGCGCATTGCGCTCCTGCCGCCGCGCGCGCTAAGCACCGTCCAGCAGCGCGCGTGCCTGCCCTTCCTTGCGGTGCGCTCTGCCCTTCCTCAATCCGCCCCTTCCCTCACCCTCCTCCTCCTTCCCTCTCTCCTTTGTGCTTCCCCCAATACCTCACCTCTTCCTCCTCCTATTTTCTCTCCCCATCTGCTGCGGCTCGTAGCTCCTTGTGGCGTGCCCTGCCCTTCCCACAATCCGCCCCTTCACCCTCCTCCTCCTCCCCTCTCTCCCACTAGTTCCCTCTCCACTATCTCACCCCTCCTCCACCTCTTTTCTCTCTTCATCTGCTGCAGCTGGTAGCTGATTGTGTTGTGTAGCTGTTGTTCCTCCACACCTTCCCTCCTCCTCAACATCCTCCTCTCAACTGCTCAACTGCACACTCTTCCCAATTCTCCCTCCTCCTCTTGTTTCTCCCTTCAGCGGCACAGCAGCAGACTTCTCCGCCGCTATCCCTCCTCCTCTGGTTTCTCCCCTCATCGGCGCAGCAGCAGACTACTTCGCCATTTTCCCTCCTCCTCTGGTTTCTCCCCTCATCGGCGCAGCAGCAGACTACTTCGCCATTTTCCCTCCTCCTCTGGTTTCTCCCCTCATCGGCGCAGCAGCAGACTACTTCGCCATTTTCCCTCCTCCTCTGGTTTCTCCCCGCATCGGCTCGGCAGCAGACTACTCCGCCACTTTCCCTCCTCTTGTTTCTCCCCTCAGCGGCTCAGCAGCAGACTACCCCGCCCTTATTCCTCCGCCTCTTATACCTCTCCCCACATCTGCTCTGCAGCTGTTTCCTCCTCCTCATGGCGACCTCTCTCGCCCTCCCCTCCCTCCCTCTGCTGGTCCTTCAGCTTGCGCCCGATGGCAGTGCAGTCAACTTCCCTAGTTGGCTGAACTGTCTTGAGCGCACGCTGTCTGGCACCCTCGTGAGTGGCTTTAACCTATGGTTTGTCACTCAGCAGAGTGGTTCTGGCGCCATTCCCACCTCTCCCTCTGGACCCACCTCTTCCTCCTCTGACCCCTATGCTGATGGCCTCCGTGCTGCCATTGCTGAAACTGAGCGGCTTGTGACCACAACGCAAGCCACCGCCACGGCTGCTCCTGACAATGCTGCTGCCCGTGACTTAGCTCGTATTCTTGCTGAGTCCCTCGAGAGCACCCGCAAGCGCCTCACGGAGCACCTCGCTGCCCCTTCTCCTCGCTCTGCGTCTACGCCCATTTCCTCTGCTCCGTCTCACTCTGACCTTCTCGCTGACTGGCATGTTGCCAACGCACGTGCCTGTCAGGTCATCCTTGCCTGCCTCCCTCCAACTCTTCTCCCTCAGTGCTCGCACATCCGCTATGCCAAGGACCTTCTCGGCTATCTTACCGAGCGCTTCCAGTCGCAGACTCCTATCAGTGTCATTGCCCTCTTACGCGAGCTCACCTCTCTTCGTCTTGCTGACTTCACCACCATGGCGGACTACATCGCTCGTGTGCAGACGCTGTCCTCCCAACTTGCCTCTCAAAAGTTTGAACTTTTCGATCATGTGTGCGGTGCCCTCCTCCTCACAGGCCTCACTCCTGAATACAGTGTTCATGTCACTCTGTATGGTGAGCGCCCTGCCGACCAGTGGTCATTCTCTCGTGTCTCTGCCTTCCTCCTCCAGGCAGAGCTCAACCTCCGCAGCTGCCCTCCTACTGTCGCCGCTGTCACACCCGCTTCCGCCCCCCCCCCCTCTCCCCACCTCCACTGTCGCCGCTGCTTCCTCTCGCCCTCGCAACACCTTTCCTCCTTGCACCTACATCATTCGCCAGGGGCCCCGCAAGGGTCAGCCCTGCGGTCGCACCAATCATCCCACCTCCTCCTGCTTCCAGAAGCTCACCGATGACTGGTTCCTGGCTGGCAACACTGGTCGCCCTCCCAATTGGCTTCAACTCTCTCGTCAGCGTCGCCAGTCTTCTGCTCAGGCGGTACTTGTGGCTGCCGACTCTGGTACCAGTGCTCAAACCTCTGCTCTCAGTGTGACTATGCCTAGTCAGGATAGCATTCTGGGGGCTTCTCCCCTTATGGACCCTCGTTTTGCCATGATGTTTGCTCCTTCTGTTAATGGCAATGATTCTCAGTATCTTCGTCCCACAGCTGCTGCTCTTTCTCTCCCTCACACTCTTGAGTTTGTTCTTGACAGTGGTGCCACTGACTCTGTTTTTTGTGACGCTGGTGTGCTTCGCTCTTTTCCCCATCCCCTCTCCATTCAAGGAGCTGGGGATACCATGACCATGACTTGCACTGCTACCTCCTCTCTTCCCTGTCCTGCCTCCCCCTCTGGTGCTGTGACTGGCCTCTATGTCCCTTCCTGCCGCCACAACCTTCTCTCTCTCTCTGCTCTTCAACGTCTTTGTGTGCGAGCTATCTTTCCTGAATGTGACTCCTATTGTGATCTCTATCATCGCAACCGCCATCTTGCACGCTTTACTCTTTCCCCTATCACTCGCCTCTACACTCTTCGTGTCTCTCTCCCCCCTTCTGCCCATCATGCCTCTTCCGCTTCCGCCCCTCCCGTTCCTTCTTGCGACTGTCGTTCTCTCACTCAACCTACCCTTCTCCTCCATCATCGGCTTGGCCACCCCAATTTTCCCCTTCTTCGCAGTATGGTCTCCTCCAAGCTTCTTCATGGCCTCCCTTCCTCTCTCCCTCCCCTTCCTCCCTCTCCTGCTCCTCCATGCACCCCATGTGTCCAGGCCAAATTATCCCAGTCACCCCATCCCTCTTCTCCCTCTGCCTCTCCCCAACCCCTTGACCTTGTTCATATGGACCTCTGGGGTCCTTCACCTACTGCTTCTCGTCAGGGTCATCGCTACTTTCTGCTTTTGGTTGATGACCACTCACGATTTGCCACTGTCTATCCCCTCCGTGCCAAATCTGACGCTCCCTCCCTCATCATTCGCTGGGCTGAGCAGGCTCGTCTACGCTTTAAGCATCCTGTCACGCGCTTCCACTCGGATGGTGGTGGCGAATTCTTTAATCATTCTCTCTCCTCTTACTGTGCCTCTCATGGCATTCGCCAGACCTCCACTCTTCCTCACTCACCAGAACAGAATGGGGTTGCCGAGCGTCGCAATCGCACCCTCATGGAAATCACTCGCTGCCTTCTCACCCATGCCTCTGCTCCCCACTCTCTTTGGAGCTATGCTCTCCTCCATGCCACTCTACTCTCTAACCTCCGCCCTCATCCTCTTCGCCCTACTACCACCCCCTTCCAGCTTTGGACTGGCCGCCAGCCCTCTGTTCGCCCTCTTCGGGTCTGGGGGTGTGTCGCCCATGTTCTTGTCAATCCAGCAGACCGGTCCCGTCAGGGTGGGAAGCTCGCTCCCAAGACGCAGCTCTGTGCATTCCTTGGCATCAACTCTGACTGTCCTGGCTATCTTTTCTATGCCCCTTCCTCTCACCAACTCATCCGCAGCCAGGACGTCATTTTCGATGAGACTCAATCCCCATTCCATTCCCCCCCACCCGCCCCTCCTGTCCCCTCTCTTCACTGGTCTGATTTCGATCAGCCGCCGTCTGTCCTTCCCTCCCCTCCCCCCCCCCCCCTCCTATCCCGCCCCTTCCCGCCCCTCCCTCTGCGCCAGCCTCTACTGCCCCCCCTTCCGACATCATCTCTGGCGCCTCCCCACCCGCCTCTTCCTCTTCGGCTCCCCTCCCTTCCTCACTTCCATCTTCCTCTCCACCTCCTTCGTCTGTTCCCATTCCCCCCCCTTCCCCACGCCTTACTCGCTCCATGACTCGCGCACTTTCTAATTTTCAGCAATCTGCTCTTTTCACTCGTCTTTCTCCATCTCAGAATGTTACTCTTCTTGAAGATCGCTTTGAGGAGCTCTTCAACATTCATCCTGTTTCTCCTCTCCTGTGTGTCACCGTTGGTGACTATAGCAATTCTCCCACTCTTCTCTCTGTCGACACCGCTGCCATCCCCACCCCTCAGTCCTACTCCGAGGCTGTGTCGGGCTTTCATGCCACTGAGTGGATGGCTGCCATCATTGCTGAGTGTGAGGCATTCACCAGAACTACTTCATACATTGACTCTGTTCCCCCCCCTGGCGCCACCATTGTCAAAGGCAAATGGGTCTTCCGTGTCAAGCAGCTGCCCGGCGAACTTCCTGTCTTCAAGGCCCGCTACTGTGCCAAGGGGTTCACTCAGCGTGAAGGCATTGATTACTTTGCCACTTACTCCCCCACAGCCCATCTCCCCACCCTTCGCCTCCTTCTTGACTTAGGTGCTCGCTGGAATTGGGAGATCCATTCTATGGACGTTTCCAATGCTTTCCTCCAGGGCGAGCTGCATGAGCGCATATTCCTTGAGCGCCCCGCTGGCTTTCCTCGCCCTTTCCCTCCAGGCACGGTTTGGGAATTGAAACGACCTGTGTATGGCCTTAAACAGGCCCCACGCGAGTGGCACGCCAAGCTCGCCTCCACCCTTCACTCTCTTGGTTTCTCTACCTCCACCTCCGACCCCAGTCTCTTCATTCGCACATCCCCCCACAGGCTTTACATCCTTGCCTATGTGGACGATTTGGTGTTGCTTGCTGAGGACTCCGCCGATCTTGCAGCTGTCAAGAAGGCTCTGCAGGCGCGTCTCCTGTGCAAGGATCTTGGCGAGCTTCGTCACTACCTCGGCATGGAGATCCGTCGTGATCGTGCTGCCCGCACCATCTCTCTCTCCCAGTCTTTCTATATCCAGTCCATCCTCCAGCGGTTTGAGATGTCGCAGGCCAAGCCGGTCTCCACCCCTCTTCCCGCTAACCATCAACTCACTGCCCCTGCCGTCCCTGCTCCCTCCTCTGAGCTGCGGCCTTATCCTGAGCTCGTTGGATCTCTCATGTATGCTATGATGTGCACTCGCCCCGACCTTGCTTACCCCCTCAGTGTTCTCTCTCGCTTTGTTGGTCTAGGACGCCACACTGACGTGCACTGGGCGGCTGCTAAGCGCGTCCTGCGCTATCTGCGCGCCACCTCTGACCTTGCTCTCACTCTTGGTGGCTCTGTTCCTCACGTTCTCTCCGGCTACAGTGACTCTTCCTATGCTGACTCCCGCCCTGATCGCCGCTCCTCTCAGGGCTATGGTTTCACTCTTGGCAGTGGTCTCATAAGCTGGCGCTCTACTCGCTCATCCTCTGTCTGTCTTTCCACCTGTGAGGCTGAGTTGTACGCAGGCACCTTGGCAGCTCAGGAGGCTCGCTGGCTCTCCTTTCTCCTTGCTGAGCTTGGTCACTCTCAGTCCTCTGTGACGCTCTCCTGTGACAGTGCGAGCATGATTCATCTCACTGAAAATCCTGTCTATCACGCCCGCAGCAAGCATATCGAGGTCCGTTATTTCTTTGTGCGCGAGCTGGTGCAGTCTGGTTTCTTACGTCTGCGCAAGGTGGACGCTGCTGCCAACCTTGCTGACATTTTCACCAAGGCCCTCTTGCGTGCGCCTCACCGTTTCTACGTGTGCCAGCTTGGGCTCACGCGTCTCTCCACTTCTGGGGGTGTGCCGGTTCGCTAGGTGTTTTGCTCCAGAGCTTCACCTAGCCTGGGGGTGTGTTGGAGTAGGCTAGAGCTCGCTCTGGTCTTTATTTTGGTGTTCTTATATTATTTCTCCATGCTTAGAGAGCGTTACGCATTCAGGTTCATTTTAGGTTCATTTTGTAGCTTTTAGTACAAACCGAACACACCCTAGGTTCAATTAGGGTTTCCAACCATCTCTCTTTTGTACCTCGACATTTCTCTTCCTAGTTCAACTTTTCGACCCTACCTAACTCTCTCGCCATCCATGGCTCCTCTCATCTTAACAATATGGTCTGCACAGCACACTCCCAGCCACCTCTGGCCGCTGCAACTGGGGGACCTCTAACTGTTAGAGAGTCTAACTATGAGGCGCCTCAAAACTGAAGGACCTCTAACTGTTAGAGTCTAACACACATCGGACACAGGCAGGAGGAGTATGTAGACCACAAGGGTCCTAGAGGAGTCTTGTTATTGCCCGCACTCTGTGGCATGCACTGCATACATCTGAAAACTTCTGCATGCTACATTTTGAGTCGATTCAAAAGTCGCACTCTCTGTGGCATGCACTGCATAAATCTGAAAGCTTCTGCATGCTACAACAGCACGAAATACTTCAGTATGTGAAACCAGATCACATGCTCTTCCACTCACCCTTTGCCTTGCTACTGAACTCACCATAAGCACATGAGGAGCCGATGCCATTCTCAACCTCCACAAAGGGCTGCACAGGAGCAGTGGGAATATTGCAGGTGCAGTAGTTGCTGCTTTCTGCCGTCCCCTGGCACTGGAACCTGCCGCACGGGTTCATGCTGGGCTGCGAATCCCCATCGCCCTTGTAGCTGCTTTCTCCACAAGGGTCCCCTGGAACTGAAACGTGTTAACGAGGATACACTTGAAGAGCATGAGGATACACTTGAAGAGCATGAGCATGGAGGTTGGAGGACGACTGCAAACAAACAAGCGTGGAGGAAAAAGACTACAAAGCTCATGGCACATTATTAAGCACCAGAGTAGTTAAGCACCACCCACCACTCAGTGCATATGTGCTTACCAAGCTTGACACTACGATTGACCACTAGTGGAAGAATTTTCAGATTTCAAAATGCATGCAGAGCAATCAGGGCCACTTAAGATCCCCCTACATGTATGCGAGTGGCATGCCAATTCGAACTCGAATTGGGTTTTTTTGTGTGTGTGTGTGTGTGTGTGTGTGTGTGTGCGTGCATGCGTGCGTGTGCGTGCGTGCGTGTGTGGAGTATTTGATCGTCAATAACGGTGAGTTATTTGTTTCCAGGATGTATAAGTCACACCAACGGCTCTAGGAGCATCGTTTCCGGCATGAGGAACTTAGAGGTATTGGAAAGAGGGCAAAAGAAAGCAACCATGGATTGCAGCAGAGGGTTAGATGCTCCACTGCTGCTGCTGGGCAATGAGGTAGATATGGCTTACCTCATCCATGACAGTGTAGAGATGGCTCACTCTGGGCATTGGGGTAGACCTAGACGCCTTACTCTTGACGATGGGGTAGATGCCAGGCAGCACGTTGATGCCACACACACCGTCTCCTCCCTGAATGTCCATGCGCATGTGACCCTTGTCGCCCCACTCCTCTCCCCACGAGTTGCGGATGATCCAGAACGGAGGCGCAATGCGGTTCTGGCTGCCGTCGTTTCTTGTAATGAAGTAACCTATAACGAGTACAACGTGGTTGAGACTGCCAGTGTAGCAACCAGGATCCTGGTACTTGAATGTCTGAAGTGAGGTGGGGGAAGAACATTCACAAAGTGGGAGTCAAAGAGTGCAGGTCAGACATGAATGAAGCTGTAGAAGGGGATGCTATTAGTGTTAGCCCTCAATCTCACATTTGTACTTGAACTTTTTATATCCTAGTTTAGTGTAGTTTGCACTATGTGTTTGGTTGGGTGTACACCCACATCCCAACCAAACCCAATTGTGATCTCCAAGCAATCTCCAACCCACCAATTGGAGATTGCTTTGGAATTACCCCCAATCCCTAGAGATTGTCCTCGATTCATTCCTTGACCATCCTGGATGTACTTAAAGAGCTTCAAGCTCATTACTAATGTAACGATTCTAAGCTCAAGTTCTAACAGATGCCACTCGTCTAATTGTGAAAGTACCTGCCATCCAGGTGGTGACCCTCAACACAAGGACCACATGCCACGGTAGGCACGACACTGAGTAAGAGTTGCATTGCAGCGACTCACCCCATCATACTGCATGAAGGTTGGAGATGCCTCGATGTGAACCACCACTGGCTGCCGCTGCACTGCCAGCATGAGCCCCACATACCCCTTGAACTGCGCTCGTTCAAACGCCTGCACCGGGTATGTTGTTGCCTGGGGCCACAAGATTGCAGCATTGTTGGGCGGGAAAAGGTGGGGTTGGGGTTGGGGTTGGGGGTGAGATTGGAAGCGGAGAGGGGAGGCTTGAAGAAGATCTGAAACTAGGGAAGGGTATACCCGTCCGTCCTTCCCCAGGAGGGACCAGCAAAAAAGAACCAAGGCAAATGATGTGCAGCACAACAATAAATCTCACACCACGGCATAATGATGCCTTAACGAATGAGCAACAAATCTCTGGGCCCTCAGACACCTTAAAATAAAGGATAATCTTACAATCAGAAACTCGCGTAGGTGGTTGGATGAGGTGGTTGGTTTTGCTACCGGCTTCCAATCCTGTAAAGGCATGCAAGCAAAGTAATCTACCCTCCACAAGGCTCACACCAATACCCACTCACGTGCTACATACCATACCTTGCCTGCCCTCATGCTGTTCTCCCTACCAGGGTCCTCATACTGTTCCGCCTACCGGGTCGCTGGCTCCTGTGAGCCCACTGGAGGCATCGAGAGCTGTGAGCGTCTCAAAGGCCTCTGTGGGGGAGCCGCAAGCGGAGCACTTGTCGGGGTCGGAGAGCCCCATGAGGGCGACGAGAGGCTCTACTGATAGCTGGGGAGCGCTCTGCTGCTTTGCAATGCCGTATGCCGCCTCCACACTCGCCACCACCGCATACGCCCAGCACGCATCTGAGAAAAAGTAGGGGAAGAAAGGTGAATCATGCAATGAGGGTGGAGTGATGAAGACAGGCTGCGCATTTGTTTGATTTGGGATACAAATTTGTGTTTTGAGTTAGTTTAACCTGGTCAGGTTAGATGTCATTCTCAGCCTGGCCAGTCCCATATTTTGAGGATTTGAAAATTCGCATGAAGTTTCCTTAAATCCCTCCTTCGCCCTTTAATCCCTCTTGATGTGTTTCACTCAAGAAAGTGTGCCTTTTATGGACAAGATGCAAGGCCAATGGCCTTGGCTGCCTTGTGCGATGCTATGTGGACACTGCACAAACCACAACAGTGTCGAACAATGAAATACAAATGCAATTAACAATACTCGAGAACATTATTTTGCAGTCAATCACACTCACCCCAGAAAAGCGGCTCAGACGCTGAAATGGAAACTCGCAGCTCTCTTAGAACTCACTGCAGTCGTCTTGGTTCTTGACAGGCCAGTCCAGGAAGGGCACGGAGTCCCACGTGTGGAAGTCACGAATGCTCCACGAGTCCGCTTCCGTGGCGGACAGCTTAAAGTCCGCACTCACATAGCGCGAAAAAGGACTGGCTCGAGATGGTGCAAATGTGGCCTCTGACAATGAGAGGCCGAGGGCTGTGAGGGGTGGGAAGGGTTGGACGTAAAGGGAGTTGTGCATGGGGGTAGTACTTGAGAGGATGCGGCATGGGTGAGAGCATGGCGCGGCCTGATCTTATGACGTCATGCTCACCGAACCAATCTCCTCGCAAGCCCCACTTGACCGCACAGGCGCTGGTTGGTGCCTCCAAAAGTTTGACATGTGAAAACTTGAGCTACAATCGATTATATTACTTTGGAGCTCCAGAATTTATCATGGAGCTCAAGGTTCCCTAAGTATATTAGTACATCAGTAAGGTTTTCCAATGGGACGGAGGGAGAGGGGGTAGTGTTAATGTTAGCTCCAATCTCACATTTGTACTTGTACTTTTTATATCCTAGTTTAGTGTAGTTTGCACTTTGTGTTTGGTTGGGTGTACACCCACATCCCAACCAAACCCAAATGTGATCTCCAAGCAATCTCCAACCCACCAATTGGAGATTGCCTTGGGATTACCCCCAATCCTCTAGAATTGCCCCTGATTCTCTCCCCATCCTTACCTTGCCCATTTCCGATGTACTTAACGAGCCTTGAGCTCATTACTAATGCATCGGTTCTAAGCCTAAGTTGTGACAGGTAGTGTTCCAGAGGGGTGTTCCCTTCGCTCGACCATCTTCAGGAGCGGGCAGCTGACTTTGAGACGACTCAAAAGTCAGCTCGGGCAGCTCATTTCCTTGAGGCACATTTCGGAGTGCTGGAAGGGGCTGGCTGGATGTTGCCTCTCTCAGGCAGGCACAGTGGTCGGGCAGATGGAATGGTACCATCAACTGGAAAAAGTTGGTCACGATTCAGGACTCTTTGGCGGTCCCGGGCCGGCCATGGGGTGATCCCCTCAGAGCGCATAGCCTGAACCTGCAGGAGGGGGAGCTTTGAGACGTCTCAAAACCCGGCCATGGGGTGATCTCACAAGAGTGCAGAGCCCGACCTAGGCTGAGTAAATTACAGGCAAAATCCCAATCTTCGAAGACCGCACATCTGCGCTTATAGGCGGGCGAAATCGCCGATCTGCGCAGAGAGCGGGCGAAAGCGGGTTTTCTGTACCCGGCCCGACCTTGGGTCCCCATGCATGCCATATCTAGAAGTACGCGTGAAAGCTAAGGATTTACTGGGTGAAAATTACACAGATCCCCATGCATATCATTCAACAGGGTAGAAGGGAGAACAAGTCCGGCAGGAGGAGTTGGGGTGATTGATGCGCAACAGATAGAGTGAGAGGCTGGGAGAATTGGACGCCTCTGGTAGGAGATCGATGCCAAAGCTGGTACATGACAACGCTGCAAGCATTAGGCTACAAAGAGGGAGAGTGCTCCCAACCGGGCGAGGCGACCAATGCTGCAGCTGGGGTAGCGAGTATCATCGAGCCCCTTATTTGTGCGTCCTACAGCCCCCCCTTGACTTCCTGAGCGACCCACAACGGTACCCAGCTAGGATTTTGTGGGGGTAGTACTGTACGTTGTTGTAATCACTTATTTTTATACAGCATACATAGGCTCGAATTAGAGGTGTAGCGAGTTTATCAGTTGGGGGGTTGTTCGGTGTACCCTCCAACCACAACATGTGGTTGGTGGGGATTGGTCCTTAGTTGGCATTTTCCAACCTTTGGTCCTTAGGTCAACCAATCCACCCAACCAGCACACATTTGTGGTTGCTTGGATCATGTTGTGCAAGCAAGAATGTCCCAGTGGGTAGATTATCACCTTTGATCTTAGAGGTCGTGGGTTCAACTCTCTAGAGCTGCATTCTCTCTTCTCATTATGCCCAACATGACATTCCCACACTCCACCACACTCACCCACAGTGAAGTGTGGTCACAGTTGGCTTTGCCATCTGTCCACTCATCCCATACTCACCTTGCTGGCCCCTATGGTGTGCCACATGCTGCCATGTAGGCTGTTGTTCCAGCCTGGACCACATGTGCAACATGTGGCCTCAGTTGCTAGCTTGGCAAGGTTGGCTAGCCTTGCCCTCAGCTTTGAGGTGCTGCAGCTAGCCTCAAGAGTTCAGCCACATATATGTGGCTTCCCACTTCTCTAGAAATCATCCTTGGCAAAGGACATTGCTCTAGCCTCTCAGGCTTGTACCATCTTCCTACTAAGGATATATTGTTCTTCTCTCATTGTGCCTTAAGTTCACCGATCCTCATTCTACATGCTATCAGAGCCAGGCTTCTAGCTTAGTGACCGTTGCACACTTGATGGCTCAAGTTGAAACGCCTCTCGGTCGGCACACCCTTCCCATCTTGGAACCAGATGGTTCCAACTTCATTCCATGGAAGAAAAAGATCTGCTACATCTTCAACATCCTTGGGCTGATCTCCCTCCTTGGAGATCCCAAGGTTGCTTCGCGTCCTTCAATTTCCTCTTCCACAACCAGCGGTGGAGAGGCTACCGAAGGCAACAGCGGTGCAGCCCCTAAAACAGCCCACTCAATTGCTTCGCTGCCGGATGAAGAAAAAGAGGAGCATGCATACTATCTTCTCATGTCGGCCGTCCATCCTCAACTATCGCTCACTCTTGCTCAAGCAAACACGACAAAAGATATGTGGGGATGCATCATGGCGCGGTTCGACTGCATGGGCAACCATGCACAAGTGGCTCTCCTCCGGGATCTCATCACTACTCGAATGGACCCAACAACAAGTCTTCGCTCTTACTTCGATTGAGTTGGAAACCTTACACACCAACTCAAATCTGCCGGCTTCGAGTTACCATCATGGGTGGTGGTAATTTCCATCATCCTCAACCTTCCGGACTCGTTCAAGACTCTTACTGAAACCATTTGCACCGTGAAAGACATCAAGTCTATGACGGTTGAATACCTACAATCACGCCTGCTCGATGCCGATTGGGAGCGGTCACAATCTGGTACAAGCCGCAACATGGAGGGGTGCATACAACCTCAATTCTCAGCCCTCCCACCCTCTTTGCTCCGGTTCCCGCCAGTCGCCCACCTGCCGTTACTGCAAGAAAACTGGTCACACCATCGACGAATGCTTCAAATTGAAGAAGAAGAAAGAGCTTGAAGAAAGCTCTAAACGGGAGAAATCCGTCATCCAGCCTTCGGTGCATGTCTCCACCAGCTCCTCTGCTGAAATTACTCCGACCCCCACACCACCTCCTGCCCCATCAGCCCCTCAGTCCGTACCTGATTCCCGGTACGTTGACATTGCTGTCAGTACCAGCCACCACCCCATTATCTCCTCATGGACTCCTCTCGTCGCTGCTGTCTTCATTTTCACCATCCTCTTTCTCCTCCTCCTCTTCCCTTATGGGGCTCCCTACGCATCGGCATTCACGGCCTCCTCATTCAACATGGACCGGACTTCGTCGTGGCTGGTGGACAGCGGCGCATCCTCCCATATATGCTCGGATCGTTCGCTGTTTTCGTCTCTCCAGAAGCCAAACGAAGATATCCTTGTTCGTTTTGGTGGTGGAGAGACTTACAAGGTTTTGGGAGTCGGCACGATGGTGGCTACTCTTCGGTCACCAACATCGGAAACCACCATTCAGCTGGACAACGTTCTATTTCTCCCCTCCTCAGTTCGCAACCTGCTCTCTGTACGTGCACTTGGTGCTGCCGGCGTTGCCGTCTCGTTCCCCGCTGCTGGGCGCGTTGTTCTCACAGCTGATGACGCTCCTATTGGCGAGGGTTATACCCGCAACAACCTGTTTTATCTTCCACTGCATCATGGGAGCAGTGCTGCTCCTTCTATCAAGCCAACGGCATGTCCAGGCTCCACCACTACCTCCTCGTACCTCTGGCATCGTCGTTTCGGGCATCTCAACATGCAGGACTTGTCAACACTTCATCGGTAGCAGCTGGTCACCGGACTTCACCTCTCCTCCACCTCGATTCCCCATTGCATCTCGTGCTATCGTGGGAAACAAACACGTCAACCGTTTGGCGTGTCCCATTCTCACACCACAGCACCACTCCAACTCATTCACTCCGATATTGCTGGACCGTTTTCATATGGAACTACCCTTGGCGGCGCTCGCTACCTTCTCGCCTTCATCAACGACTACTCCCGCCACATTATAGTGTATCTCCTACGCCACCGATCGGAGCCACTTTCATGCTTCAAGGCTTACGTCACATGGGTACACAACATGCATTCCCCACACACCATCAAAGCCTTTCGCTCTGACGGTGCCTTGGAGTTCACTTCCAAAGCCTTCACTTCATTCCTTACAGCTCATGGCATCGCTCGCCACCGCTCTACGCCATACACACCTGAGCAAAATGGAGTAGCTGAGCGCGCCAACCGCACTTTACTTGAGATGGTCCGTTCCATGCTACATGATGCACATATGGACAAAGATTGGTGGGGTGAAGCCGCTCTTACTGCTGCCTATCTCCGTAATCACGCCATTAGTCGGGGTGGCTCAACTTCTCAGACTTCCATGGAACTATGGACCGGTGCACGTCCGGATGTATCACACCTCCGCATCTTTGGTTCACCCGTCTCGGTCCTCATTCTTTCCCAACGGCGTTCTAAGCTCGACGACCGAAGCACGGCCGGCATCATGGTTGGATATGGTCATCTTGACGGCACCAAAGCTTACCGCATCTATATCCCATCTCAGCACCGTGACATCCTTTCTCGTGATGTCATCTTCATGGAGCCCTCTGCACCACCTTCCGACGACCCTCGAGACCCTCCATCGTCATCTCCACCCACATCCTCCTCACTACCTCCTCCTCCACACCCTACTTCCTTGGCCCCCACCCCCCCTCCCTCTCCTTCCCCCATCATACCCTCCTCCGCCAACCCCCACCCACAATCCCCAAACCTGCCCGCACCAGCCACATCTTCTCCTCCTCCATTGTTTTCCAACCTTCCTCTGCCCTCGACGCCGCACGACTTTCACCTTCCATCCTTCTCTCCTCCCTCTTCGCCTCCTCCTCCCCATTGCACGACTCGCTCCTCACCACCATCCCCTTCAGCTCTTCATGATCCTTCCCTTTTCTCCTTGCTCAAGGTCTTACCATCCCCTTCCGAGCCCATTGACTTCACTCTTCCTCCTCTTTCCAACACCTCCGCCAATGCTGCCCTTCATCATCATTACGAACCTCAAACCATTCATGAGGCTCGTACCGGTCCTGATGCTGCTGAATGGATCAAGGCTGCTGATGCGGAACTTGCTGCCCTGCACGCTAATGACACCTACAGCATTGTTCCTTGACCACCCAAGTGCAAGCCGATTCCATGCAAATGGATTTTCAAGGTCAAGGAGAATGCTGATGGTTCTATTGAACGCCGCAAAGCCCGCCTTGTTGTCAAAGGCTTCAAGCAACGTGATGGTGTTGATTTTCATGACACCTTTGCCCCTACATTCCGCTTCGCCACCCTCCGCTTGTTTCTCACCATAGCTGCCGCCTTCAACCTGGACGTCCATCAGCTGGACATCTCCAACGCCTTCCTCAACTGCACCCTTAATAAAATTCTCTACATGATGCAGCCTCCCGGTTATGAACTTCCGGCGGTCCGTGGTGTTGAGCAAGTTTGTCTTTTGCACAAACCGCTGTACGGGTTGAAGCAAACACCGCGATGCTGGTACCGCAAGCTTCGTGTGGAGCTTGCTGCCTTTCACCTCTTTGCTGCTCGTGCGGACCCCGGCCTCTTCATTGCTCCTCCTCACTCACCCTATCGGCCTACGGCTGCATCCTTCTTCATGCTTCTCGTCTATGTTGACGACCTCATCATTCTCTCCTCCTCCTCCTCTCTTCTTGCCTCATTCAAGCATGCCCTTTCATCTCGCTTCAAACTTCGTGACCTCGGACCTCTTTCCTACTACCTTGGCTTTCACATCACTCGTGATCGAACTTCCCGCACTCTCCACCTTCATCAATCCAAATTCATCACCTCCATTTTAGACACCTACTCATTCTCTCCACTAAACCCCGCTGCCACTCCCATGGACACAAATTTTCAGCCACCCGTGACTTCCTCCCCGCACTCCTCCTCCTTCCCTTACACCTCGTTTGTCGGATCCATCATGTATGCCATGGTGGGTACCCGTCCCGACCTCGCATATAGCGCTGGAGTTCTTGCTCGTCACCTTCACGATTGGTCTACTCCTCACGTCTCGGCTGCCAAACGCATTGCTCGCTACTTGAAAAGGGACTCCCTCCCTTGGGCTTCTCCTTGGTGGCATTCCCGACACCCTCGAACTTCATGGCTGGTGTGACGCCTCTTGGGGACCGGAGGGGGAGCTGCGTCGCTCCGTTACGTGCTACTTGTTCTTCCTCGGTCCGTCGCTCATCTCTTGGCAGTCCAAACGCCAAGCTATCGTTGCTACCTCTTCCTGTGAAGCTGAATATTACTCTTTGGGCGCCGCGGTGCACGAGGCATTATGGCTTCGTTCCCTCCTTACTGCAGTTGGACTTCCCCCAACCGGCCCCACCCGTATCTCGTGTGACAACAACAGTGCCATCATTCTCGCCAAGGACGATGGCGTCTTTCATCCCAAGGCCAAGCACATCGACATCAAGCACCATTTCATTCGCGATCATGTTGCCGACCACTCCGTCACCCTTCACTATGTTCCTACTCAAGACAACCTCGCTGACATTGGCACCAAGCCTTTGCCCCGTGACCCTTTTCTTCGCATCCGTGGTCTTCTCGGTCTCACCCATGTTTCCTCTTGAAGAACCCTACCCCGGGGACATCCTTGAGGGGGGGTGTTGTGCAAGCAAGAATGTCCCAGTGGGTAGATTATCACATTTGGTCTTAGAGGTCGTGGGTTTAACTCTCTGGAGCTGCATTCTCTCTTCTCATTATGCCCAACATGACATTCCCACACTCCACCACACTCACCCACAGTGAAGTGTGGTCACAGTTGGCTTTGCCATCTGTCCACTCATCCTATACTCACCTTGCTGGCCCCTATGGTGTGCCACATGCTGCCATGTAGGCTGTTGTTCCAGCCTGGACCACATGTGCAACATGTGGCCTCAGTTGCTAGCTTGGCAAGGTTGGCTAGCCTTGCCCTCAGCTTTGAGGTGCTGCAGCTAGCCTCAAGAGTTCAGCCACATATATGTGGCTTCCCACTTCTCTAGAAATCATCCCTGGCAAAGGACATTGCTCTAGCCTCTCAGGCTTGTACCATCTTCCTACTAAGGATATATTGTTCTTCTCTCATTGTGCCTTAAGTTCACCGATCCTCATTCTACAGATCACAAGGAAGCTCACCCATTGGCCAACTTAGTGGCCAATAGGGTAAACTTCCCTTCCATTCCTCTCTTGCTCATTCTTTGTAACAAAAAGCCTCTTGGCTCCTTACTCAATTCAACAACTTTAGCTCTTGTAACATACATAGCGCAGTAACAACGGACCACGATGTCGTGGTGGGAAGAAATAATAACAATCTTCGGATCACGCCAGTATTATAAACGAATATTGAAGTTATTATGCAGGTTGCTTGCTACTAACCATCCCAGCTTCTATCTGCCACATGACAGGGAGCTCACCTTTTGAATCGACCTGGACTGGCTTGGGTGAAGGAGCACCTGTTGAGATAGACAGAAGAAGAAAGAGGAGGAAAGCAATGGAGTGCTGGTTGGGTCTTGGACAAGGAAAGCACATGAATGGGTAGAAGTAGCAAGATGATGCTAATCAGCACCAGACAGAACACCTGAAATAAACACCCAATACTACCGTAATGCTCATTAGCAAATTGGTTTGGGATGAACTCAGACAAACTTGCCGTGTGATTCGAACCGAACCGAACCGAACTGGTTCGGTTAGAACTGGCTGGTTTCGAGTTCGATATGACATGCCATTCACTCACTACTACAGTGCTTGCCGGCCGAACTGTCTCAGCTTTTGAGGAATTTACGAGTACGAGAAGAAATGACCGGGCGATAGAGATGGCTTACTGAAAGAAGAGAGCAGCAATGAGCTTGAACGTCCATTCTGAACAAATGCCTCCACCACTACCACCACCACCACCACTACCACCACTACCACCCGCACCATCACAGCAGGCAGCATCACCCCTCCTGCCCCGAAATATCCTTGCCTGTTTGCACAGCGGAGAAGAGAATGCCATGCAGCTCGAAGGGCTTCACAGTGGTGGACGCCACAAACCCAAACGAGAACGCCGGCTGCTTCACTCCCGGCTGCAGCACCGCACACAGCGACACACTCCCCTGCAGCAGCGGCTCCTCCGGCTTCACGTTCGAGCTCGCCAGGAACACTCGAATGGTGCCAGGATCCCCAGGCTCATAGTCCACCCATGCCGTATACGCATTGCCATCGGTGAAAGCGAATGGTGACACCTCCTTGACCAAGGGTTCTTCTGCGCCGTTGATGCTCAGCCCCACGTGCTGCTCGCCCGCATCATCCTGATTCGTGTCGAATACCACGGCCATGCTCCGAGGTCCCACTCCTCTGTACCCCACACCACCTGGCTTCCCCGCCTTGGGCTTTCCCGCGATCACAAGTGCAAAACCGCCGGGCCCGGCAGTACCACCAGACTGGCGCATGAGAGCAAAGGTGAAGTTGACTCGGAAGGCCAAACCAAAGCCGCATGCCGATGTCACACCAGGCGGGTACATGAAGAGGGTCACTGGCTTTGCCACGAACATCCCCACCGTCTCATTCCTCGTGCCCTTGGTGAGCACTGTGAATGGCGGAAGAATACTTCCCTGGAGGCCTGGAGGGGCTGGGACGAAAGGGCAGCAGCAGTGCATGGGGAAGGGTGGGAGTGGTGGAAAACAAGACAGTTTGTGTTAAGCTGTGCAGAGCAGAGCAGATTATTTGGCCAATCCTATGAGAGTGAGTGAGGTCTATAGATTTGGTTGGAGTCTGTGCCTGTTCGAGGTGTTTGTGTGTGTGTAGCAGTGGTGTGGCACCCGTGATTCCACAAACTCAACACCCATGAAAGACCTGGGGAAAGTGCAACAAAGCGTGGGTAACCAATGTCTGCCAATGATAATGTAGAGCGAGGAAATGGCTGTAAAGTGCATAAAGCAAGGGGCAGAGAGACTGGGATGTCTTTAATACTATGAAAGCATGTTGCAATTGTTTATAAATCATCACCTCCTGGAATGCAGGTGGTTCCTCCAAACTGCAAGAATCCCGCACCACACAGGCACGTTGGCACCAAACTAGGCCCATCTGGGTAGCACACGCCACGACCACCACAGGCAGCAGTGGTTGGAGAGACGCCACAGAATGCCGTGCACTGCGCTGCGGGCCGCTGCAGGGCAGGGCTGCAGGCTTTGTTTGGAGCGAAGCAGTTGGCGGCGATGTTGAGTCGACTGCAGTCTGGTGCGGACACAACACCCGACAGGTAGTTGCTGGAGACGTCCACTTTGACGACGAACGGGATATTCACTAGGGGGCCTGTGAGGTAGTTGCTGCAGAGATTACTGCAGGGGAGAAAGAGAAAAACGAAGATTGCGGAGAGAAGAGGAGCAGAGTCTGGAGTTAAGACAGTTAGAGGTGGACTTTAATATCCTATATTGTACTTGCACGTTCTATTTCCTAGCCTTGTGTAGTTTCAATTAAGGTGTTGTATTTGTGAGGATGCTGATTGCAATGGGTTTGAGCCGATTAATTCAGTTTACGACAATCTCAAGGGGCGAGCAATAAGCGACGAGGAAATGAGGCAGAGAGGCCTACCACTTAGAGCAGGTTACTGATACTCCCCCCCCCCCCCCCCCCCCCCCAAAATAAAACAAAAGGAGCAACTGCCAAAAATCTGAACCCAGCAGGCACTCAAACCCTGAGCTCTAGACTCGACAATCGTATAAGCTTGACCGCTGGGCGGTGGGGTGGGGGAGGTGTTCAGAGAAGTTGACGGGGGTGTTAAGAGCGAGGGCTGTTACACTTTCGCCCAATTCCTCGCAACACTCTTCAAGGGGTTAGGCGCATCAAAAGCTAGTAGTAGCTTGTAAACTAGTGCTACTACTCCATGAAATCTCACGGTTAGTTAAGGAATTTCGAGCTTAAGTGGCCGTTTTGACGGTTCCTTAGTAGGTGGTCCGTGGAATTAGGATTTTGGCCGGGATCACAAGCCTGCCCATAGCAAGCCAGTTTCCGCCAAGAATTGTTTAACTTTCAGAGAGTAGCATGATGCGACCATAGCTAAATCACTCTCCCGAACCGAGCATGTTAGGGTTCGCCGCGAACACGGTGGTCTTTGGGAGAACAGTAAAGGGTTCGCCCTCACAAGACGAACATCAAACACCCTTGCCCCCCAGAATGTTCGACCGAACCCGAACATGTTCGGCTCGGTGCCAGGGCATACTTGGCAACGTTCGACTCAAACATGTTTCAGTTTGCTCGTTGCTCATGTCTAGTTGCTCATGCCTAGGCGGAGACATCAAAGAGATAGGCAAAGAGGTATGCAAGAAGATTGAAAAGTTTATGAGGTTTATAGAAGTGGAACGAATAACGACGTTGGAGTAGGAATGGGGAAATGGAGAGCATGGGTCCAGGATAGGAAAAACAGGGGGGAGAAGAGAGGTGTAGAAGTGAGAGCACCGCCATGCAAAGGTGTTGCACAGCAGCTCACAGGTATGCATGAGAAAAGAATTTAACAGGGAACGATTCAAGGCCAACTACCTCAAATCCGACCGAGGCCTTTTTATCACCCGTCTGGTTTGGAAAGAACAGCACACGTTCCAACCGAACCCCTTCAGGTTCGAACACAAGGACTTGAACGCGAAGCGTGAGCTGTTCAATTCACACCCGTTCGCCCGTAACCAAAGTAGTTCGGTTCGATTGCGCTGGCCGGTTCATCCAGGCTCGATATGAACCGGTTCGGATCCAAAACTTGCTCATGCCTCACAGGGTTTGCAGTTTTGGGAGGTTGCCTATTGCAGTGGGAATTGTGCCGGTCAGTTGATTGCTCGGAAGATATCTGTCAAGATGAGGACAAACAGGCATGCAGAGAGGATATACGAAGCTCAAGGTTGCATGGAAAAAAAACGAGCTGTTAATAAGAGCAAGCAACTGCGTTGAGAGGCAAAAGCCCGAGTCATGAAAGGCAGTGCGAAGGACATTGCCCATGGTGGGATGGGATGTGTGCTGATAGTGGCAGTAAAGAATGGGGACAGGAGACGTGAGGAAAGACAAGTTCTTTGCCTGCCTCAAGGCATGCCAGCCATGCATAGAACGAGCACGGGAAAGAGAGCGGCAGGAAATGGAGTGAATGGGGCAGGACTAGCATCAAAAGGAGGAGAACTGTCCAAGAGTAGAGAGGAAACGAAGCTGGAGTACAGTGAAGCAAAGGCCTTGCCGGGGGCTTACAGATATTCCAGTTTTGAAAGGTTGCTGATTGCAGCAGGAATTGTGCCAGTGAGCTGATTGACAGCAAGTGTCCTGCAACAATGAGCATGAAAGGGTATGCGGTGGATATAGGAAGCTCAAGTTTGCATGGCACCAAGCAGCGGATAGGAGCAGAGCAAGCACCTCGATTGGAAGGCAAAAATCCATGAGAATGCAACCAAGGCATGAAAGGCAGCACGATGGACATCGTCCGTGGGATGTGTGTGTAGGAGTAGCCTAGTTTCCAATCTGTATTTCAACAGGAGGAAAAGTAGTAGAGAGGCGGCCTTACACTTGTAGAAGTTTCGTAGGAATGCCTTGCCAATTGTCAGAAATCGGAGCCCCGCAGGCACTCGAACCCTGGGCTGTAGACAGCAGCGTGGCTTCCCTCTCCCGTACCAACCGGCACAGAGGTATTAACCAGAGTCGTGCCAGACTCAGCTGGCTGTTTGTGCATGTCTGCAGACAGACACTGCAGTGTGTGGTCATTCCACACCCTCAAATCGCTTCTACCTTGCAATCCACGATCACACGGCTCCGGTCAATCCACAATCACACAACTCCGGTCGCATGCGGACTACTAGTACCAATAAGACCACCGGTTATTTTGGAGGAGAGGATGGTGGCCAGCGGAGCTGATGCGAGTGGAGAAGAAGGGAGAGGTGAAAATGAAGTGCATGGGTCAGGACTAGCATCAAAAGGAGGAGAAATGGCGGAGAGTAGAGAGGAAACGAAGCTAGAGTACAGCCAAGCAAAGGCCTTGCCGGGGGGGGGCTTACAGAAAATCCAGATTTGCAAGCTTGCCGATTACAGCGGGAATTGTGCCACTGAGCTGATTGACAGAAAGTGATCTGCAACGATGAGTATGAATGGGTATACGGTGGATATAGGAAGCTCAAGTTTGCATGGCAACAAGCAGCGTATAGGAGCAAGCAATTCCATTGGGGAGGCAAAAACATCCTGAGAATGCAACAGAGGATTAAAACGCAGCACAGTGGACATTGTCCGTGTCATGTGCGCACACTGGCGGCAGGGGATAGATGGGGACAGAACAAGGGAAGTGAGGGAGGAGGGTAAATGGACAAGAGCAATTAAGATGGACGTTCGCAATCCATCACATGACTCCAGTCGCATGCGCAATGCTAGTACCACAGCATACAGCGACGAAAGGGTGGTGGTCAGCTGAGCTGATGCGAGTGGAGAAGAAGGGAGAGGGGGAAATGGATAGCACGGGTCCAGACTGGCAACACGGAGAGAAAAATGGAGAAGAGTCGAAGAGAGAGCACCACCATGCAAAGGCTTCGGGAACTAGCTCGCAGTCGCAGGTAGACATGTGCATAGAACGAAACCGCTTCGAGATTTACTTCGAAGCGAATTGGTTCGGGTTGTCTCCCTTGATAAGGGTGAGGCCTCTGGTTCAAGTTCTCATCCATCCAGTTCGGCTCGAACCGGTTCCCCTGAATTGACGTGATTGCGCGACTCAAGACTCTGCGGAACAATGCGGGTCCCATTTCATGGCAATAGGAAGAAAGTTGGAACTCACATTCTATGTTTCTAGTAACAGCGTGCGCATCTATCGTACTGATTTTGGTGCATTAGGGGGCCTACGCTGGCTTTGGTACACTGTACGCAGTCTCTTAATCACTTCAAGCAACTGAGATTGAACCGGCTCCGCACTGCACCAGTGTGACTCGAACCCATGCAGATTCCGATTTGAGCACTTGTACATGTAAGTTGGATCCAACCATAAGCTGCTAAGGCTAGTTCGGCTCGAACCTGCTAGTTCGGCTCGAACCAAACTGGTTCAGTTTGTTCGACTACGCCCACCAGTTCAACCAGGTTGGACCCGAACCGGCTTGGGTTCAATACTTGCTCATGCCTACTTACAAGCCATTTAGGTTTGTAAGCATGCCGATTGCAGTGGGGATTGAGCCAGTGAGCTGATTCCCATTAAGGTACCTGCAACGATGAACACGAAAGGGTATGCATGAGGTAGATACAGGGAGCTGAAGATTGCATGGAAACGAGCAGTGCACAGGAGCAAGCAACTCCACTGGAAGGCGATGTTCCTGAGACTGTAAAAACAAACCCGACTCGAACCGTTCGAGTTCGGTTCAGGTATCTCAGGCGTTCGAAACTGTTTGGGGAGAACATGTTTGATTTTGCATGCTGCTCATGTGTAGCAGATACTGCTCGGACTTTCTCCGTCATTCAAAGTTTGAGAATCTGCTGTAACCGTCAATAGGACAGAGCAGTACTGCACCCACCTCTGCCGGAAGGGATTTACTTAACAACACCCCTGCCTCCTACTGCACCGGACATGGCATCTACTCCACCAGACTTGCACCCTCCTGTAACCCCTTAGGAAAATGGCATGATTGAAAGCCAAATTCACGAAATCAACAAGTCCTACCAGGTTAGAACTTAGACCCGAACCAACTTTGGTCCAGTTCGGTACTTGCTCATGCCTACTTACAGGTCTTCTAGGTTCGTAAGGACGCCAAGTGCAGTGGGGATTGAGCCAGTAAGTTGATTGTGGTTAAGAAATCTTCAACGATGAACACGATTGCACGGGCAGGGAGATGAAGATTGCATGAAAACGAGGAACGGATAGGAGCAAGCGGCTCCATTGGAAGGCAAAATTCCTGAAAATGCGACAAAGGCATGAAAGGCTGCGCGATGGACTTGGGCCATGAGATGTGTGCTGCTGACAATGGCAGGGGACAGAAGGGGGCAGGACCGGCAAAATTCGGTCTTCCTCTAGAAAAATGTTCGGCGAACACTAGTAGTAATCCCAACCCAAATTCGGCTTTGGGGCATTTCGGCACATCTCCCAACCTTGATAACGCGGTCATGCTTGGTTTCACAATTTTCAACATTGGAAACGCGGCTCAAACTTGGGATTCGCGTTTCCAATTCGTGGATTCGCAGTCCCAAGCCCATTTTGAGGATCACTCACGTCCCAATTTCGATTGTGTGCGACTTGAGCTTCAACACACTTTTGAGCACTCCAAGTCTCTTGCTTGGGTACCACTTTCTTCGTCTGGAGCAGCCAAGTCGCCTCTAAACCAGCTCCCCTCACTTTGATATTTCAGCTGATGTTCTCATAGCGTCTTGATTTCTATTCTATAACAGGTTGTAGATCCTTCCTCTAGCATATATGAACCAGCTTCTCCTTATGCACATTGGGTCTATTTTCTACCAGTTGTTCGATTTGACCACAACCACCAGTTCGACCAGGTTCGACCTGAACTGGTTCGGTTTCAGTACATACTACTCATGCATGCATGCATACTTACAGGTATCTAAGTTTAGTAAGGCTGGCGATTGCAGAGGGAATTGAGCCAGTAAGCTGATTGTATTGAAGATAACTGCAACAACGAACAAGAATGCGCATGCATGCGGTAGATACAGGGAGCTGAAGATTGCATGGAAACGAGCAGCAGATAGGAGGAAGCAACTCCACTGGGAGGCGAATTCCCTGAATATGCAACAAAGGCATGAAAGGCTGCGCCATGACTCTGTCCGTGAGATGTGGGCCGACAATGGCAGGGAATCGAAGGGGGCCGGAGAGGTGAGGAGAGACGTGTTTTGTGCTTGCCACAAGGTACATCATAATTCACGCAGGGAATTGAGCATAGTAAAGGGAAAAGGAGAGGCGAAGACAAGATAATGGCAAAAAAGAAACGAAAGGAATGGAGAGAAAATGATAGGTAACAAGTAGAAAGGCTGTGTAGAAAAGGTAGGCATGCATGAGCATTGATTTAGGTTAAGCATGAGCATGGGCCGCGCCAGAACTGGCCTGTGGCAGGGCCAACCCAGGCTGCCCCTCTTGTCGGGTCGGGATGGCCACAGGCCGGCCTATGGCAAAAAAAACCCACCCTGGGCCATGCAGGTTGCAGCCATACTGGACCGGGGCCGGCCTGAGGCAAAAAACCCTACCCTGGGCTTGGG